GTGGTAGCGCCCGGGGGGGACCGGGGGTACCAGTGTCCCGGGGTGTTCGTCCCGGGGTGCCGGGACCCGGGTGTTCGTCCCGGGGGTACCAGTGTCCCGGGGGTACCAGTGTCTCAGGGTGTTCATCCCGGGGTACCAGTTTCCCGGGTGTTCATCCCTGGGGGGGACTGGGACCTGGGGTACCAGTGTCCAGAGCGTTCATCCCGGGACCCACGGTGTTCATCCATGGGGTACCGGTGTCCAGGATGTTTGTCCTGGGACCCAGGGTGTTTATCCCTGGGGTACCGGGATCCAGGGTGTTTGTCCGTGGGGTACCAGTGTCCCGGGTGTTCGTCCTGGGGTCTCGAGACCCGGGGTGCAAAGGCCGCCCGCGTTCAGACCCAGCTGCAGTTTGTCACGCTCCAGTTTAGTTCGGACCCCAGAGCAACTCCGCGCAGATCGTGCCCGGCTGGCGCCCCCCTGTTTCATAGCACCCCGCTGGTGGCCAGCAGCGCGGCCCGATTCTGCCAGGGACCACCTGCCTTCTCTGTAATGACAGTGGTGGTCAGCTTGGACTGCAGCATGGATCCGGTCAGGGTGGAGGTATCTCTCCGTGAAAGAGTCTCAGCTGTGAAATCTGCTGGTTATGGAGATTTGAAGGAAAGATATTTCATCTCATTAGAGTTGGATGCTGAACGTTTATTCTGGCTTTATGTGATTTGAGTTTTCCCAGTGTAATCTCTAGGATGAGATCTGTCAGAAGGGGGAACAGAACATCATCTATCCTCCCCTTTTCCTCTTTGAGGAATAGTATCTCTGAGTTATGTGGCTGATGCTTTAGGAGTGCGTTTATTGGGAATCTGAAGTTAATTCTAGCTTTAGTTCAGTGTCCTGCCTGTTACTTGTAGAAGGGGCCATCTTAGTGTGTCCTTTTAAAGAGATAATTGAAGAAAGTCCAAGGAAGCTGTTAGCAGAGAGCAAATATCTTGACTAGGCCCAAGTTACGTACATCATTTCTGAACTGAAGACAGAGCTAGTAACTATTGCAGGTCATTTTACTATAGAAACAGCAGTTCTCAAATTTGATGTCTGAGAATATTTTTATTAGGGTATACCTTTGGGAAATTAATTCCAGATCTTTTCAGGAGGAGAGAGGTTAGCTATTTTTAGAAAGGTTAAGAGATAGCATAAGCAGCATCGACGCTTTTGTGAGGTTTGTTCGTGCACACACGATAGCTAAGTCTTTTCACATACCTATATATAAGCACAGCAAAAAAAAAAAAAACCCTCTGGAATTCTAACGCCTTAAATGCTTACTTTTGTGAGAACGTTTAGAATGTCTTTCTTTATTTGCAGAAACGTATGATGAGGATGTTGGAATGGCTGTAATATGTCAGCACTGTGATGGTAAATTCCTTCTCTTGAATGTGGAACAGGGCAGGGAATGGTTAGCTAGCGTTACTGTACAGCAATCTTAATATAGTTTGTCTGGATAGAAATGCACAAACCCTTCATGTAATCTTTTCCAAGGGTTATTCGAATAAAAGTGTTTTTTTCCTTATCACAAATGTGATTTGCAAGAGCTTTTGTTAATCAGTTTCTCATAATGCTTGTTTCCTGCCAACAAAATTTGAAGCATCTTAACAGGAAAAACATGAACATTAAATACGAAAGCGTGAAGAAAAACATTCGTATTGCCGAGACTTATTTGTCTGTTTCCAGTCCGCTCAGCAAGCTAACTACTTATATGCTTTTGGTTATGCAGGATATGATCTTCTAGAGCAGCACCTGTGTGAGCTTATGATGTATGTTGTGTCCTCCTATTTATTAATGTTGCCTCTAACTACTAGGTACAAGTTTTAAGATAAATTGCAGATACAGGCTTGTTTACGGTTATAGCATCGACAAGTTCAGTAATAATTTATTGTGCTCACTTTTTGTGATGGTACTAATTATTTTTTTAATCACAACTGAAGTCTCAAGAAAGCGTAGTCTTATAATAAAGAAGCAAAACTATTGTTGTAGGAAGTTTTCCAAATAAACTTAAGTTCTTTGTTTTCTTAATAGCTACAACAGAGCATGCTTTCAGTAAATGAGGTTGGGTTCCTGAATGATGTCATTTCTGCTACAGCAACTGCGATGATTGAATAAATCATACTAGACCTATTGGGCATCGTGATTTTTATATATGGGCTATAGATGTTTTGTCTGATTTAGTTACTGATTGACAAAATTCTGTGGTCTGGGCGATGTAGGCAGTTGGGGAATATGGTCATAATAGTTCTGTCTTCCTTTCAGTGCATATGTTTTTGATCAGGCCTTTTCTCCCTGAAGAATTTGCAGTTGTTAGAGTCCGGAGCTTGTTGTTTCAGGGGTGCAATAAGCAGCAGAAAAGCGCTTCGTAAATCTTACGAAAAATAAATTTATGAAGAAGCCTCTGGAAAAAAAACATCGTGGACTTAAATTCACTGGAGTTTAATTCTTTTCTTGTCTTAAACAAGTGAAAATCATGCTTGAGAGTCTAGATTACAGGATCATGCTGCCACAGTGGACTGCTACTCACGTGATGCTCTTTGAAATGATGAAAGTAGGAAGGGCTCATACTGAATGAGGTATAAAAATGTAAAGAGAAGTGGAGCTACCTCCTTGACTAGAAAGTGAATACATTAAGTAAATATATAAAGCAGTGGGGAAGACGTTGTTGAAACATATTACAAATATTAGCGATGAAGAGAACAAGCTCTCACAGCCAGCAATCTGGAGAGCAAAGGATGCAGGAATAGCGTACAGTTGGGTCTGGTGTTGAGGGTCTAGAGGGTCTGAAAACTCTGGAGAAAAAAGGAGCCACAACAGAAAGAAAGCAGTAGAGAATTAACAGTTCTCCCATAATTTTAAGTAGAAGGAGGTTTGGATCAAAAGCAATGAAGAGTCAAGATAAAAAGAGAGTCAGTCTTGCAATAAATACAGGATATATGGTTTTCAGGGGAAAAAAGTCTCCATAAAAGAAAGGCTATTTACATTTTAACTGATGCTTACGCAGTGCAGTTTTGTATGATTTCTGAGGTAAAGAATTCAGAGAATTGAGCCTTTC